GGCTATTCACTAACCTCCCAGGAAGTCACCTTAGAATGCCCTACACAGCAAGCAGGCAGCAACAAGGTGTGCACCAGACATTGCATGACACGCACCATCACTTGGCTGGTCACTTCACGGCTAAATTACATGCAGGCCCAGAGACTGGCCGCCTCATTTATTGCCTCCCAAGATTTTATTCACGAAGGCCGATGGCTTTTCTAGGTAAATAATCATGTTGTCAACACATCCTGGCATTTTTACCTCTCTATTTCCCTTGTGAATCCTTCTGAATCCCTTTCATTTCCTCCTTAGTGCAATTCTTGGCATTTCTAATGCTTCGTGCTGAATGAGCCTGAGCCTGAGCCTGAGCTCTATTTCTGTTTTGAGTTGGAATGTTCCAGATGTTTCTCCGTTGTGTATAATGGTTGTCATTCTGGGTTTCAGGCAGATACTTTTTGAAACTGTGTATCCTTTTTAGAGAGAATGTGCATGTGTGGGATCATTGCTGGATGTATTTTATTGAAGGCTTTTTCTGTATCTCTTTTGGTTTTTATTTTCTTATTCGAATGATATTGAGGCAGGCCAGCACAATGAAGAGAGTCCCCGGCACGGAGTCAACAAGACTTGGGTTTGACTGCCATCTCTGGTGGCATCTTGATGCCATCTCTGATACTTAGCAGCTACACCATCCTGGGCAAGTCAACCAATCAACAGGCCTTTATTAGGTGCCAGCTGCGTGCCTGGCACTGTCCTGTGATACAAAGACAAAAATAAACAAGTTCCTGCCCTCAAGAACCTTTTATTTTATTAAGAGAAATAAGAGAAAAAGCACAAGGTAATTGGGGGAACGGGAGAGACTGTGATAGGGTGCTTGGTGCCTCTGCTTGGACCCCAATTTCCCTTAGCCTCAGAAACACTGTCCCTGGCAGTTTCTCCTCAGCCCGAGGACACTGTGCCTAGCAATTACTCGTGAGTGGGCCCCAGCAGGACCCTTATCTCTCTCCCTGGTGCAGCTACACAAAGCTGGGTGAGAGAGTGCTGGGCTGCTCAGGCCCCAGCCCTCAGATCATGTCTCTGGAAGCCTCCCAATGCCTTAGTAAGCTCCTGTCCTGTAAGAAAAGTTTCTCTTGTTGCAGAATGCATTCTTTCATCAGGACAGAGAGAGGGATGCCTGGCCCAAGGATTTTTGTCCTTGGCTGGCCCAAGGACTCTTCCTTTCGCCAGATCCCCAAGGTCCATGCCTCTGACAACTCCCTCAATGTCTGTATACTCCCTACACTTTCCCATCCATAGCTCCCAAAGACACCTGGACCACTAGATTACCTCATTAGTATACCTGGCATTCCTTTCCCATGCCCCTTTTCCATATAAACCCTAGCACCATCTTCAGTCTCTTGCAGATTCCTTAAGAATCCTTGCCCACTGAAAAGCATGACAATAAATCTTTGCCAACTTGACTTAAAGAATGCTTGGGTCTGTGAATTCATTCCAGACGACCCCGTCCTGTACTCCGGTCTCTTTGAGGGGTCTCAACCTCTCAGACCGCAACAACTGGTGGCTGGGGAGGTGAGGAAAAATTCCATTACAAGGTAGTGCTTGTTAGGCCAAATGGACTCCACTTTGTGACTCTACATTTCACTGACCTTTGAGTTTCATGCCCTTCAAATGTTTTCTGTAAAACTCCCCACTCACAACACATCCGCACATGCCCTGACCTTGCCCTGATCACACAGCTTGGCTGATGTACACCTGTTCCTGTCTAACACTATATAAAAGAAATCATGTAAAAGCCAAAGAGCCACGAACCTCTGGGTCCTCATGCTGACCAAGAGCCTTGGACCTGATTTATTTCTGCAGCTGCATGCCTTGCTAAATAAATCATCTGAATGTAACTTGGTGTCCTTATTTTCTATAAACATGCTAGAGGTGCACTTTGGAGGAAACTAGAGATTCTAGTTTCTAGAGGCGGAGGTACATTCCAGACATGGAAGATAGCCTGTGCAAAGGTGTGGAGGGGGGAATATGGAATGTTGTGTGTGAGAAACAGCAAAAAGGGCCATGATGGCTGGACCATAGAGTACATGAAGGGAAGTGAAGTGTAATAAAGCTCAAAAGGTAGCCAGCAGTGGATGGAGCTCCAGCCTTGGAGTCAGGAGGACCTGAGTTCAAATCTGCCCTCAGACACATAACACTTACTAGCTGTGTGACTCTGGGCAAGTCACTTAACCCCAATTGCCTCACCAAAAAAAAAAAAAAAAAAGTGGTCAGGTTGTTAAGTTCTTTAAATGTGAAGCATAGGATTCTATATTTGATCTCAGGCAGTCACTGGAGGTTATTGAGCAAGGAAGTGACACGGTCAGACCTGTGCTTTTTTGGGAATATCACTTTGGCAACTTTGTGCGGAAAAGGGGAGATGCTTAGGATCATAGGCCCCTAACTCCAGAGCCAGAAGGTAGCTTACAGGCCTTCCGCCCAGAGGTGTCAAAAACATGTGAGCCACACATGGCCCACAACACTCTGGAGTGTGGTCTGAACCAGATTAAAACGCAGTTCCTGAATGTGTTGATATATTAATTAAAAATGAAAAACAGCCTGCCGGGATCCATGGCTCCATTTCTATTTGAGTTTGATACCACTGATTTAGTCTATTCCCTTCACTTTTCAGATGAGGAAACTGAGGGCTTGATGTAGGACAACCAATTGTTGTTGCTGCTGAATTCTTTTTCAGTCAGGTCTGACTCTTCAGGACCTGGTTTGGGGCTTTCTTGGCAGAGATTTTGGGGTGGTTTGCCATTTCCTTCTCCAGCTCATTTAACAGATGAAGCCTTTCTGTCCTTAGCTAACATTGATATAGTTGGTTTTCAAACTGCTTTACACAGATTCTTATTTGATTGTAACGATAGTCCCTGGGGTAGGTACTATTACTATCTCCATTTTCCGGAGGAGGAAATTGAGGCTCAGAGAGTGGCTTGTCTAGGATCATACAACTATTAAGTATCAGAAGGAGGATCTGAACCCAGATCCTCCCGACTGATTCTAGCCCCCTAGCCACTACACCACAGTCCCTCTACCTCTAGTTAGAAGAAATCTCTATCGTACAGGGGTGACTTGTCTTTGGAAGGCTTGGGAAGAATTCGCCTGTGACCCCATCTAAAGCCGATGATGGTGAGCTGACGTGTTGCAGGCGCTGCAGCCAGTTCTTACCTGGAGAGGTAAGTGAGAAAAGTTCAGGGTGAGCATCTACACCTAGTCTGGACTTGATTTATTGTTTGGTTGTTCGTCTAGACTTAAGAGTGTGCCGCAGAAAACGTTAATGATGAACATCAAACTTTAAAGAGTGGTACACATACATCTCCACCCCCCCCCCCCCCAGGTTGTTAAACATTTACCAGCCACCAGCTCCGTGTTGCTGAATTTCCCTATGCTGGGAGCAGGTTTGAGCCCAGAATTCACTGGTGAGCTGTCTGATTTCTTGCTGTTAATTTGTTCGCCTTTAGCCATCTCCTTTATGTAGTATTAGTTTGAAAACCTTGGCGATTTCGCTAACAAGTACCCTCTACATTTAACTTCTCCAAGAAGCCTAGAGCGCTGTTATATTCCCAGATGAGCTGATGACCTCTGTGAGTTTGAATTTCAGCTCTGCTATTTATTCCTTACGTGACCTTGATCAAGTCATGGAACCTCTGCACGTCCTCAGTTTCTCTATGTGCAACATGAGGCATTTCTCCTGGATGGCCCCTCTATGATCACACACAGCCGTACCGGCAAATAGGCGTTCATGGGGGTAAGGGTGGGCTCGCTCTGCTTGTGCCCATCCGCCAGAGCCGGCCCCGGGGGTGGGGGAGGGGAACCTCCTAACAGTAGTAACCACGCTTGTGAGGAGCTTCCCGGGAGGGGCGGGCCTGGCTGACCCCTGACCTGCCCAGCTGGAGGGAGGGCCGCTGACCACTTGGCCAATGGCGGCCGAGGCCAGGGCCGGGGCACGTGGGCGCCCCTGCTCGGTCCGCTCTCCAGCAGGCTTCCGGGCACTGGGCTGGGGGGGCCCCGTCATTCGGGCTTCAGAAAAAGTTCGTGCGGGAGCGGGGGAGGGGAGGCTCCGGTGGACCAGCGTGTGCCCTGGGCCGTGGTCCCCCGCCTGCCTAGCCTCAGTTTCCTCCTCTGTAAAATGCCTGCGTGTGACTGGAGTAAGCAGAGAGGAGGGGCTCGGGACGCGGGGGAGTCTCCTGCGCAAGCGCCTGGCTCCGGGCCAGGGCCGCCTCGCGCCCCCTGCCGGCTGCCCGCCAGACGCCTGGCTCGCGGACCTCCCTAGGGATCGTCTCCCAACTCTGTCCCGGGGCCGGCTGAGGGGAGGATGGGAGCGGGGGGGGGGGGGGGGGGAGGGGGGGGGGCGGCGCGGGGCGCGCAGCTCTGGGCCTGCGCGAGATTTAAAGCGAGTGCTAAGAAGCCCCGGGCCGGGCTTCGCGCCACCTTGCGCTTTGGCTCTGAGTCGGGAAATGGCTATCGGTCCCTCGGAGCCTTCCGAGGCGAGCACCTCCCGAGATGCTCCAGGGCCTCCCCTCCCCCCCACCCCGGAGCGGGGGAAAAAGCAGGGGGCGCCTCAGCGGCCTGGGGTGAAGGTGGGGGCTTTGCATGTGAGTGCGAGTGCGGGTGCGGGTGTGGGTGCGGGTGCGGGTGCGGGTGCGGGTGCGAGTGCGGGTGCGAGTGCGGGTGCGGGTGCGGGTGCGAGTGTGTGGGTGCGAGTGCGAGTGCGAGTGCGGGTGCGGGTGCGGGTGCGGGTGCGGGTGCGAGTGTGTGGGTGTGAGTGTGTGGGTGTGAGTGTGAACGTGAACGCGCGCCCCGCCTCCGCCCCCTCCTGCCATCCCAGCGCTAGGCTCCTCCTTCGCGCTGCCGCCCCGCCCCTCCCGCTGAAGGAGCCCCGCCCTCCCGGGCCGCCCCGGCCCTCCCCAGCCCGGCCCCGCCCCGCCCCCGGCTTAGCCGAACCCGCAGCTGCTGGGGCCGCCACCACCGCCGCCGCCGCCGCCACCCGGACGGAGGCGCGATGAGGAGCAGGAGTAACTCGGGCGTCCGGCTCGATGGCTACGCCCGCCTGGTGCAGCAGACCATCCTGTGCCACCAGGTGACAGCGGGGGGTGGGGGAAGGGAGCCGGGGACCCATCCCTGACCTCGGGCAAGTTGCCTTCTCCGCCTCGGCCTCAGTTTCCCCATGTGGGAGTGGAGAAGCTCCCCCGAAGTTTGGGATCCCCAGCGCCTGGCACGCCGTAGGTGCCCAATAAGTGCTCTTTGGCTTGGCTTCTCCGCCCCGGGCTTGACAGACCAAGCAGGAGGGGCCGAGCCCCGGGTGCGCTTCGCGGTGGCCTGAGATACCCTGAGATATACCCTGAGATATGCCCTGAGATATGCCCTGAGATATACCCTGAGATATGCCCTGAGATACCCTGAGATATGCCCTGAGATATGCCCTGAGATACCCTGAGATATACCCTGAGATATGCCCTGAGATACCCTGAGATATACCCTGAGATATGCCCTGAGATATACCCTGAGATATGCCCTGAGATATACCCTGAGATATGCCCTGCTTCTTCCTTCCATTCCCTCCCCAGGGCTCAGCTCCAGAAAAGGCCGAACAAAACCAGGGTACCAACCCCTGTTACGATCCTCTGCTCTCCTAGTTGTTAATTCTTGTCTAGTTTTACTTTGTCAGAGCGGAGAGCGACTTTGGAGACTCGTCACTCCAGTCTCTGTGTTACAAAGAGGGAAACCGAGACCCCCCAGAGGGCAGTGGACTCAGGATCACAGAATAACCCGGATCGAAATGACCTTGGAGAGCACTGAGCCCAACCTGCTTATGTCACAGAGGAGGGAAACTGAGGCCCAAAGAGGGGAAGAAACTAGCCTCAAGTCACACCGCCAGCAAGTAGGGGGGGCTAGGCATCGTTGCACAGCTGGGATTCAAAATTCATTCTTCCCAGGGTCTGTTCAAAGTGTCAGTAATTCAGGCTTAGAGGCCAGACGGCTGCCTCAGAATAACAGGGTTTGCGGTTTCAGGGCAGAGCCACAGCTGAAGTAGGAGAGCCAAAGAAGGGAATGATGAGCCCATTTCGTGGATTAGGTTTCCTCCAGCTCCCTGGGGAACTCAGGGACTTTCCAGGTAGCTTCCATCACCCCACCTCTCCTCTCCCCACCCTTCCAGTCTTTGGACCTCTTCTGGCTTCCATTTTTGGCTCTGCAGAATCCTGTGACTGGCTTACTTCCAGCCAGCCGTGATCAGAAAGATGCTTGGGTCCGGGATAATGTCTACAGTATACTGGCGGTGTGGGGCCTGGGCCTGGCTTACCGCAAGAACGCAGACCGAGATGAGGACAAGGCGAAGGCCTATGAATTGGAGCAGGTAAAGAAATCCCTTTGGGCACTGGGGCACCCACGTGGGAACACCTACGGGTACCCACAGCAGGACACTAGATGTCCACAGGGCTGAGAGGGACGGGAAAGAGGAAGAGAGGCAGCCAGGGCTTGCCTAGCAGAACTGAGCAAAGGAAACAAGGCTTTGGGTCTACTCTTTCTTCTCCTCTCTCTCGATTTTCCTTTCCCCTCAACTCCTGGGACATTCTGAGCCAGCTTTGCTGAAAGTTTATCTGGCTAGGGCACTCATTCCTACTCAGAAGGCTTCTGTGCTGTTGCCTGGGGGTGTTTCCTAAAGCTCAAATTCCTCCTTGTAAATAAATGCGTTTCACTGGCCCGGCACATTTATTCTGAGAGTACTCTTTCGGTCCTCTTACGTACATCATGTTGTCCCTCATGTTTGACTGATGATGTTTGCATAGGACCAACAGACCTTCCAGCTGGACACAAGGAAAGACTGTTTTTTGACATCCACAGCTTTAGCCATCCTTTTCAGGCCCTGTTGGTTTGCTCAGAGATCTTATTGTGGGGGCAGCATTTAGGTGAGCTTCAAAACCCACGCCCCTGAATGGGCAGGCAAGACTCAGGACACCTAGTCCAGCCACTGCCCATTCTGGGTGGACGGTCACTGTTCAGACATCCAGAATGCCACGTCTAGAGGCCCAAGAGTAGGCTTCAAAGCCTCCCCAGCTCTGCCCCTTACTACTTTTGGGGCTGTGGCAAAGTCACCCCTCCTCTCTGGGCTTCCTTTTCCTCATCTCTACAAGAAGACATTGAATTACATGACCTCTATGACCCCGACAAGCTTGAAATCTTTGGTCTCATGACTTGAGCAAGGGCGTTCAGTCCTGAAAGCCTGGATTGCAAACCAGGACTTGGGTCTCCAAGAGCCTCCCTTCTTCCCTCAAAGCAAAGCTCCTTCTTGGAGCCTGGGCCAGCTGGAGCTCCAGTAGGCATTCGTTTGGTGTCTGTCTGATGATTGACGCCATGTGCAGCCACTGGGGGGGACCAGCAGACCCTCCCAGCTGCCATCTCCAGTCTGACCTCAGGGTTAGGACTAGGACATGGGAACGGGTAGAGCCTGTAGAAATGCAGGGTGTCATCCATGGGCCGTGACTTTCCCTGGCTGTGCCGTCAGTGATCCAGCTGGGAGGATTCAGGCCTGGATGGCAAACAGTAGGAGAGTATAGTCGGGGTGAAAGAGATGGGTGTGGGGAGAATGGGCAGGGGAGCAAGCCACGGAGCCAGATTTCTTACAGAATGTTAGAAAGGCTCCATCCTAGGCCTATAGTTTCCTCTTTGAGCACAGACCCTACTGTGCATGAGTGTGTATGTGTGTGTGTCTGTAACAATAACTTCAGTATGTTCCACTTACTCAGGTAAGGGACAAAGGAGGCGTAGACGTGACCGCTGGGGCAGTAGACTTGGGGTGGGCTGTGGGGGGCTACAGAATTGCACCTGGCTTCTCACAGAGTAGTAGCCCTGACTTTTCCCAGCCCCCCTCCCATCCCCCAAAGTGCTTGAGCAACGTCATATGACATGCCTTATAAAACAAGGGTGGCAGCTCGTGTTCTTTGTGGGGGAGGGAGCTCGGAATCCAATCTCCTAACTTTATAGTCCTAGCTCGTGGCTGATCAATTACAAATAGACATCTGTTCTCCCTTTCGCTTCTTAGGGGAGGGGCATTGCTTTGGGAGAGGTGGCTCTCTTTTGGGGGAAGCGTCTTGAAGTCACTGGCATTAAATAAGGGCTCCTCTCTCCTCTGCCCCCTGTCTCAGATGTCCTTGGTTCCCCCCAAGCCCTCATTCCACTCTTTGCCTGGCTGTACTCCATTGGCGCTGTGGGACAAAAGCTCCTTACAAAGTGAGGCCAGGCCATGTGGTTTGTGCTGTATGAGTGGTCCCAGCCTGGGGCCTGGGCGTTAGAGGGCCGGAGTCGGTGATCCTCAGGCACGGAGAGTCTAGAATCAGGCCCCATTGGGGGAAGGGGGGCCTCTGGCTGGGGAGGCCAGCTCTTAGTGCCTCTGGCAGGAGGGAGGGTGGGGGTTCACTTTGGGCCTGGTGCCTCTGCACTTGTCTCTGAACTGAAGCTTCCTGTTCCCTGGAAAAGGTCCAGATGGGTGTTTCTGTGTTCTTGCCAACAGCAGAGCTTCTGACTCTGGGAGAAGAAAGGGGCAAGGGGCTGGGAGGCCCCTTCAGCCCTGCGGCTTTGGTAGGATGACTTCCCCTTCCTGCCAGGGGCCGGCTCAGAGGCAATTGTTGCTCGGGTTCTTTCTTTGGCCTGCCTGGATACAGGCGGCGGGTAGTTTTCCACCCTGCTCCCAGCACCCCGTGCTCTTCCGTGTGCTCATGAAGCAAATGCCATGTCAGTACTCAGTGGGGATAGAGTTACGTGCTTTGCAAAGGTCGGGGACCAGCTGCGCTCGCTGACTCAGGGCACTCCTGTTCTGGAACGAGGGACTAAGAGGCTGGTTTTCTGTTCCTCCCTGCAGAGTGTTGTGAAGCTGATGAGGGGGCTGCTGCAGTGTATGATCAGACAGGTAGGCCGCCATGGGCAGCTGCCCCACAACTGAAGAACCCGCCATTTGCTGTGGCTTCTTAGCATCACTGGGTGCAAAACTACCCCCGTGTGACCTTGAGCAGACCATGTCCCCTCTTCTGGCCTCAGTCCCCTCCTCTGTCAGATGAGATGCCTCCCAACTCAAAATGGAGGAAAACACACCCACAGGCTGCCTAGCTGTCAACTCTACCCTGTACCATATCATACCCTGTTCCTTGGCCTTCTCTCCTCACAGCCAGATCAAGGAATTACTGTTGGTAATAGGAGTGGAAGCAACATAAGATGCTGAAAATATCAGGGCTGTAAAAGAGACAAGGAAGGGGAGAGAGATTAAGACGGAGACAGGAACAGAGAGGGAGGAGAGGAGGAGAGAGACTGAGACAGAAATAGAGAGATAGTGACATACACAGAAAGACAGACAGAAACAGAGAGCAGGATGGGGGGAGAGAGACAGAAATGGGCCAGAGAGAGCAAGACAGAGACAGAAAAACAGAGACACAGAGAGATAGACAGAGAAAAGGAGGAGAGACAGAAGAGAGAGACACAAACAAGGGGAGAGGTAGGAGATACGGGTGGGGGAGGGAAGAGACAGGCATAGACACACAGAAAGAGACAGGGAGCAGGAAGTGGGGAGAGAGATAGGGACAGAGAAGTGGAGAGGGAGAGAGAGAGACAGAACTATGCACACAGAGACAGAGAAAAAGGGGAAACAGGGATAGACAGGGAGAGAGACAGAGACACAGAAAGGAACAGAGAGAAGGAGGGGAAGACAGAGACAGAGATAGGAGGAGGAGAGAGAAACAGAGACAGAAAATGAGAATTGAAAAAGATTTAACCTCCCCCTTTGGGGCCTGGGACCATCTTATAAGGAGTCAGTCTCACCTCACTGCCAGGGTCCCTTGGGTTTGTTTAGGAAGGAGGTGCCCCCTTCTCACTCTCTAACAGGAGAAGCCATGGCCCAGTTTGGTGAAGTCAGGCCCACAGCTACAACAACCAGGCTCTAAGTTGAAAGGAATAGGGGACTGCCCTTAGGCCTCTTCTGCCTCTAGCATTCAAGGCCCCTCACTGTCCACCAGTATCCCTCATGCTGGGCAGCCCAGCTGCCGCTGCTGTCTTCCTGTGCTAGGGCCTTGCCACTCGGTATCCCATATAAGCATCAGGAAGGAGAGATGCTCGTTCCCCTCCCAGATCTTTCCAAATCAGTTAAAGGGTCCCCTCCCCACATCCTCACTCCTGGGTGGCAGAGGTGAGATCCCAGGAGGCCAGAACTTGGGGCTGCTCCCCCTGGGCCGGCCATGTATGTGCCTGCCAGCCTTTGTCCCTCCCTCCCACCACACTCTCAAGTCTTAAGAATAACTGGTGCTATCTCCGAGCTCTGAACATCTCAGCATGTGTTGATGTAACAGCTGACAAATGTGTTTGACCAACTTTTCCCCTATCATCGTTGTGACATTTTGGGCTGGAGAGTTTTAGTGACATGTGGGCTGGGCACAGAGGGCATAGCAGCCAAAGGAACCCTGCCACTATGATCCCAGAGAGGACAGGGAGCTGGAGGAGGAGGAGCAAGCAGCAGCAGCGGTGCAGAGGGCAGGTGGCACCTTGAGGAGGCGTCGGGGAGGGACTGCACTGTCATGATGGGGGCAGGCAGGACTTGAAGATAGTCCAATTTTTGTTGTTGTTCAGTCGTGTCTGACTCTCGGTAACCCGGTGGACCACAGCCTGCCAATGCTGGCCATGGGGTTTTCTTGGCAAGGATACTGGAGTGGTTTGCTATTTCCTTCTCCAGCTCATTTAACAGATGAGGAAACTGAGGCAAACAGGGTTCAGTGACTTGTCCAGAGTCTGAGGCCAGACTTGAACTCAGGAAGATCAGTCTTCCTGACTCCAGGCCCTGCACTTAACTAACTTGAGAGGGCAGATGCTAGAAGCCCTTGGAAACCAATTAGGATAGTTAGCGAGACGTGCCAAGGGCCTGCTTGAAGGTGGTAGCTATGAGTGGAGACAGAGGACATAAAAAGAGCAGGGTTTGGGTGTGGGAGACACCCAATAATAACAACAACAACAATAATAATAATAATAATAAAGGACATGGGGACAGACTAGGAGGAGAAGGTTTCGAGCCTGGGACACTGGGAGGATAGATTAGAAAGTCTGGAGAAGGGCCGGGCAGAGGGGAGATGACAGGGTCAGTCTTAGGTGATGACAGGCCATTTGGGGGCCACATCCCGGAGGCTGTTGGCCATGTGAGCCTGGCATTGAGGAGAGAAATTAGAGGTGGACAGATATGGAAAGAGGTGTGGACACATGCAGGTCTAGCTGTAGGTGTGGATGTGTGTGTATCTACCTAGTATTTCATATCTGATAAACACCCAAGTTTAAAAAGGAGCAGTGAGCTCCAAGAGAGCAGGGATCCCAGCACCCCGTACCCAGCACAGTGCCTAGCACTCAGCAGTTCTTAGTAAATATTGATAGGAGCCAGAAAAAGAGAAAGGAGATGCCAGTCTTTCCAAGCTCTTCCATCATCAGTGGCAGCGGGAGAGCATATTACTGGGGAGAAGAGGGGCTGCGAGGCTCCAGTTCTGGAGCCCTTTCTAGTTCTACCTGTTCTGTTTCAGGTAGACAAAGTCGAGTCCTTCAAATACAGTCAGAGCACCAAGGACAGTCTCCATGCCAAGTACAACACCAACACCTGTGCCACCGTGGTGGGAGATGATCAGTGGGGCCACTTGCAGTTGGATGCCACCTCTGTTTTCCTGCTCTTCCTGGCCCAGATGACGGCCTCAGGTGAGTCAGGAAGATGGGCACATTGAGAACACTTGGTTAGGCTCTCTTACCCAGGGCCTGTGAGATGAGATGGCTTTCCACTGCTGGTAGCTATGCCATTTAGGCTACTTTCTGGGTGTCTCTGAGCCAGATGAGAGGGATTGCTCACGATTCTCAAATGCTTGTCCTCCCCAGGGCTAGCAGCGGGGGTGCAGTGAGCTCAGTGATGTCAATGTGTCAGAGAACTGTCATTCCCCAAGTACTGAGGGCCAGCCACTGGCTAGTAAGAAGCCTCAGTGATCACCCTCCATTGGTGGGGATTGCAAGGGAATTACTAGTCAAGAAAATCCAGTGGGATTTTTTTCCCCTACAGAAAAGTAGGTTCTTCTACTTTCCTGTCATCTTAATCTAGCTTTTGGACTTGGGGCTAAAGTTCCTTCTCCTCTGTCCTGGCTCTGGGGCTCCTCAGCTGGCTTCCCGTGGAGGTGTGGACACTCGGGAAGTTAAAGGAGAGTTGGGTGGATGTTCGGTCAGATTCCATTGGCCCCATGTCAGAAAATGGAATTAGAAATTCTTTTATTCACCATAGACTCATGTAGGATTATGGGGGCACAATGCTAGAGCTCAGAGGGACCTCCGGGGCATCTAGTTTGACTCCTTCATTTAGAGGGGAGGAAACAGTCACACAAGTAAGTAGCAGAAGTGATGGTGACCCTGTTAGAGCTAAAAGAACCTTGAACGTGACCATAGCCAATCCTATATTGTTGTTTGTTTCAGTGAGGGAGGAGGAAGGTTTAGACTTACGGGTGAGACATTCCCTCTACTAAGCAACTCTGGGCACCACAGGTAGAGTGCTGGGCCTTTAGTCAGGAAGACCTGAGTTCAAATTCTTTTTGGGGGTTTTTTTTTGGGGGGGGGGGCGCTAGGCAATGGGGTTAAGTGACTTGCCCAGAGTCACACAGCTAGTGAGTGTTACGTGTCTGAGGCCGGATTTGAACTTAGGTCCTCCTAACTCCAGGGCCGGTGCTCTCTCCACTGCGCCACCTAGCTGCCCCATGAGTTCAAATTCTGCCACAGACACTTAGTAGCTGTGTGATCCAGGGTGAGTCACTTCACCTCTTGTCTGCCTCAGTTTCCTCAACTGTAACATGAGGATAATAACAACACCTACCTCATAGGATTGTTGTGAGAAATAAGAATGAGATAACATACAGAAAGAGCACTTTGCAACCCTGAAAGTGCTGTGGAAATTGTAACAATAATCATCATTATTGTTGTCATCATCAGTAAAACCAGAGACATTTAAATTGTTTTGTTATATGTCATAGAACATAGAATATTAGTGCTAGGAGAGGCCACAGAGATCATTTTACAGAGGAGGAAACTGAGGCCCAGAAACAGGAAGTGATTTTAATTGTAGCAACAAGCTTACGTATTCCAGATATTTTCCCTTGAAGAGAAAGACATATAATTATTTTTTTAGCTAAATGCACACCATGATTTTAATATTCATTGTGAAATTGTTTATATTTTTAGAAAATATTTTTAAATATTTTCATAAAGATGTTTATAATTGGCATACATGAATCTGGGAAAGATCTGTGGTTTTTGGAATGGATTTCCTGACCTCTTGATCTGGGCACTTATTCTCCCAAGAGAGATTGTAATTGGAGCTAAGTTCTTGGAAGTCGCCTGAGGCTCTGAGAAATAGATAAGGTGCTGAGAACTGAGAACTGACAGAAGGCTGAGCTACTCTATTATTATTTGCTTTCATTTTCTCTAACAAGGAAAATGACCTTTGGACCTGAAGATTAGATCGTAAGAGATTAGATTGTAAATTCCTTGTGGACAGGAACTAGTTTTGTCTCTTTTTATAACCCCAGTGATTAGCACTGTGTCTGGCAAATAGTAGGTGCTTAATAAATGTTTATTGATTGATTGATTGGTATGTAAGGAGATAAGTAAGAGAGCTTCTGGCTGCCTTTGATGAGTTCAGGGCAAGGCCCAAAAGAACCAGATCCTTGATTGCTGAAAGACTTGGCAGTTGTGGTTGCCACTCACTGTCGGTGGTATGAGAAGGGTCATGGGAAACAGGAGAGGTATTTTTTTTTTTAGGTTATAAATGTGCAGTTCTGCAAAACACTTCCATAGTAGACATGCTGTGAAAAACTAACTCTGTTTTCCTTAATCCTATCCCGCCCCCCCCCATTTATTCTATTCTGTCTTTTGACCCTGTGCCTTCTCAGAAGTGTTTGCTTCTGATTACTCCCTTTCCCAATCTGCCCTCCTCTCTATCATCCCCCTACTCTCTTGTCCCCTTCACCCCTATTTTCCTGTACGGTAAGGCAGATTTCCATACCCAATTGAGTGTATATGTTATTCCCTTCTTAAGTCAAATCCTATGAGAATAAGATTCACTCATTCCCTCTCACCTTCCCCTGTTTCCCTTCTACTGTAAGAGCCTTTTCTTTTCTATTTTGTTTTTTTTTTTTGTGGGATAATTTACCCCATTCTACCTCTCCCTTTCTCCTTCTCCTAGTATATTCATCTCTCATTCGTTAATTTTATTCTCCAGATATGACCCCTTCATTTTCAACTCACCCTGTGCCCTCTATCTATCTATCTATCTATATCTATATATACATACATATAATTTTTTCCCCTCCAACTACCCTAATACTGACAAAAGGTCTCATGAGTTACAAATATCATCTTTCCATGCAGGAATGTAAACAGTTCAACCTTAATAAGTCTCTTATGATTTTCTCTTTCCTGTTTACCTCTTCATGTTCCACTCGAGTCTTGTATTTGAAAATCAAATTTTCTATTCAGCTCTGATCTTTTCATCAAGAATGCTTGAAAGTCCCATATTTCACTGAATGACCATTTTTTCCCCTGCAGTTCTGCTGGGTAGGTGATTCTTGGTTGTAACCCTATTTCCTTTGCTCTCCAGAATATTATATTCCATGCCCTGCGGTCCCTTAATGTAGAAGCAGCTAAATTTTGTGTTATCCTGCTTGTGTTTCCACAATACTTGAATTGTTTCTTTCTGGCTGCCTGCAATATTTTCTCCTTGTCCTGGGGAACTCTGGATTTTGGCTACAATATTCCTAGGAGTTTTCCCTTGGGGATCTCTTTCAGAAGGAGATCGATGGATTCTTTCAATTTCTATTTTGCCCTCTGGTTCTAAAATATCAGGACAGTTTTCCTTGATAATTTCTTGAAAGATGATGTCTAGGCTCTTTTTTTGATCATGGCTTTCAGATAGTCCAATCATTTTTAAATTCTCTCTCCTGGATCTATTTTCCAGGTCTGTTGTTTTTCCAATGAGATATTTCACATTGTTTTCTAATTTTTCATTCTTTTGGATTTGTTTTACAGTGTCTTGATTTCTCATAAAGTCACTAGCTTCCAATTGCTCTATTCTAATTTTTAAGGAAGTATTTTCTTCAGTAATCTTTTGTACTTCCTTTTCCATTTGGCCAATTTTGCTTTTTAGGGCATTCCTCTCCTCATTGGCTTTTTGGACCTCTTTTGCCATTTGGGTTAAGCTATTTTTTAAGGTGTTATTTTCTTCAGTATTTTTTTGGGTCTCCTTTAGCAAGCTGTTGACTTGTTTTTCATGATTTTCTTGCATCACTCTCAGTTTTTCCTCTACTTCTCTTACTTGCTTCTCAAAATCCCTTTTGAGCTCTTCCAAGGCCTGGGACTGATTCATATTTTTCTTGGAGGATTTGGATGTAGGAGCTTTGGCTTTGTTGTCTTCTTCTAGTTGTATGTTTTGATCTTCTTTGTCACCAAAGTAAGATAATATAGTCTGACTCTTTTTGCGCTGCTTACTCATGATCCCGGCCAATTACTTGAGTTTTAAACTCTTTGTTAAGGTAAAAGTCTGCTTCCAATGTGAAGAGTGTACTGTCCCAAGCTTCGGGGGTTTGTACAGCTGTTTTCAGAGGTACTTCTAGGGATCTGTAAATTTGCAGTTCTTCCAAGGTGGTATGATAAGGGGTGAGGTGTTTTCTCTCCACCACCACAACAAGCTCCACCGCACCAGCACTCCTCCTCACTCCAGGACCGACCCTCAGAACTGTGACCCAGATCCAAGCACAGGTAAAGCAAGAGATTCCTGCCTCAGCACTGGCAAAGAGATCCCTGCAGTCCCCCTCTGATCAGCCACTCGATTACCCCTCGGTCTGTGGGCTGGAAGCTCAGGAAAAAGCTGCAGCCCGGGGCCGTGCTCGAGACTTGCGGCTGAGACCTAGCTCCTCTCTCACCACCACAGTCACAGACTTTTCCCACTGACCTTCTAAGTTGTCTTTGGCATTCCTGGGTTGAGAAGTCTGGAAGCCGCCACAGCTGCCTGCGATTCAGTCCTCTGAGGTCTGCTCCAGGCTCGCTGCAGCCTGCGCGCCCACACCAAACTGTGCTCCTCTCCCCGCCTGGCATGATATACCTTTCCGATCAACCATCCAGGCTGTCTTGGGCTGGAAATTTGTTTCACTCTGTCTTTTTGTGGGTTCTGCTGCTTTAGAATTTGTTTAGAGCCATTTTTTATAGGTATTTGGAGGGCTTTGGGAGAGAGCTCAAGACAGTCACTGCTTTCCCTCCGCCGTCTTGGCTCCACCCCCCAGGAGAGGTATTAAAATGGCACCCCCGATGGCATCCCCATTCCCAAATGACACCCTGATTTTTATAACAGGGAAGAGAACAGAGTCTACAAACAACAGGCCAGGGAGCTTGGCTTCCATTCTTGGGAAAATGCTAGAATGGATCATTAAAAGGATGGTTAGCAATAAACTAGAAAGGTAAACAACGATTCCAAAGAGCTGACTTAGCTTCCTCAAGACCAGGGCCTGCCAAACTCACCTTATTTCCTTTTTGACCAGGACGACTAAAGTTACTGATGAGAGCATTAATGTGGACACAAGTTACCTAATTTTTGATCAAATATCTCATATTATTGTCCATTATTGCAACATGCAGCTTATGTGATAGCATAGTTACATGGATTCAGCGATGGT